GTTAGTATATATATATATATATATAATATATATATATATATATATAAATTGCGAGGTATTCATAACGGGTTTCACATGTGGAATAAATCACCTGTTAACCTATGGATGCCCTGCCTTATATCCAGGTATCGATTGCACTGAGTGGTTTACTCGTGATAGTACGATTGCTGTACACAGATTCATTGAATATCATGCATGAGCGTGCTAGCTGATTCATAAAAAATCATGCAAGAGTCTGCTAGGTGAAAGCCACTCAGTTCGCGTTCACATACATATATATGAACAGGTATCTTCTGTTATGTATTTAGAGGATCAAGGCGGATTGACGAATGTACCGCACATAGTGAATATGTCAGTGCCGAAAGGCTTCAACTGGGTCCTATATTTCAAGTCCGATACTCAATGCATATACACATTTGGTGGTTTGTAAGTAGCAGCTACAAAAGTTTGTACTATGCGAACTTCCCACACATGTTTTGGATCTTGACACTCCTCGCTCTAAAACCTTCATTTGCTTTTTTTTCCTTGTACTCATACTACATATTGCAAAGCCTACTACAGGGTGCGTTATAATACCCACTCCGCCCACTTGCACTCTTTGACTTGATTTCTGGTACTTACATCTATAGATCACAAAATTCACTACAGGGTGCTTGAAGAATGTGCTATCAACATACATCGGTATGGTTGCCCTACCCGATTATGTGTTCACAATTGCCAATTTCGCTGGTGTGAACGTCAGTATCTTCGGGTCTCTACTTTACTCGTACGTCAAATTCAAGGAGCAACAAACCGCAAAGGCCGGACCTGCGCTGCTACCCATGACTAGAGATAATTCTCGGGATTAATTATTAAGCATTAAAGCAAATCTAAAATAGTAACGAGTTAACTGATGTCGAACTTCGATATTTTTACTTTCCAATGCACCATACTTGTTAGCTCAGGATATAAATACTGCAGCAGTGACCACTCGTAGACAATCAAGGGATCTGTATACATGTACCTTGACACTGCACCCTAGGTCTATGTGTGACCCAGGCAGCCTGCATCTTCTTGCTCTGAAAGCACTTGGCAAATATAGGACGAACATTCGTCTAGCTTCGCACAGGCCGAAGCATGTGATCACCGACCGCCTGTGCTTTCTTGGAATCTCTAAAAAGTTGTATTAATATATCATCAATCGGATTTGTATCCGCGTAATCTACCTCAAGTCTGATGCATGATACGCCATGCAGTTGTTTCCACAAAGCTGCACAACTATATTGAATCGACTTTATATCGAGTTCAAATCACCGTGAATCCACTTTAAACCGATGCCGATACTTTTCGGCGAGCAGAAATGAGAGTATAGAGGCTCTCGCTTACGGTGCAGGCATTCCCATGTGTTCAGTATCGCCGAATGCGTTTCTGAAATTTGTGTGTGTGTAATCGCTAGTGAATCTAATATCTCTGACTCGTATCTGTACCACCACAGAGGACGCGCAAAAGGGGACATACGCACCCGCTTGAATACCACTTCCAATGTCTTCAAACAACTCCCACTCCTTAACTTCTGTAGGAGTGGTACACAAGGATGATGTATGTAGATACCGTGGTTGTTCATATTGTGCTACATACGTGCACGCTTGCGGCCGGCATCATCACACACTATGCTGATGCCGATAGAGGCGATTGACTGTGACATAAAGTGAACTGTGTAGTTGCAAGTATACTCAGTGTATTAGGACTACTTGAAATAGGAATGCAGTTGTACTTCCAATCGCACTCTAGGTTGCACCATGAGCAGCAAAGAAAGTGCATTGAACCCCACAGATGAAAACCTGTGGTTGCAGCTTATAACTGGCATATGGCAATCAAATCAGTCAGGACACATTATAAGACTTGCAACCAAATAATCTCGGGTATATACCCAGTGGTTGGGTATTGTTCCATGTGAGCTTCTGGTTGAACGTACTCATTCCTCTCCCCTCTATACACGGTTATGTCCTCCTGGGCAATCGCCCGAAGCCTGCCGATAGTGGATACTCTGGCCTTCGTACTACGCTTATTGGCAGTCTTGGCGGGTACATCTACAATCACCTTTCACTCTTTCTTCTTGCTTGGAATTGACAATAATCGGAATTAGGACGGGAAAAAATACCGGTAGTAGCACACTCCTGAGTCCTGGGAATTTTCCAGAAGTTGTATGTGATTCAAAGCAAGCTTTCAATTCTAGATTTTTGTTTTGTCTCCCAACTACGAGTGTCCATTACCTTCCGGACAAAGCTCTATGCCAGCTGACACCGAATGCTATGCGCTTTACACTACGCGTATAAACAGCTATGGCAGACGGCTTTTATTCACCGCTCATTATTTTTTCTTGCTTGCAATCCGTTCAGGGTTGTTCAAGGTAAGAACATAACTCCGGGGTATTCATCAGCAGTTATATTTTATATTGGATAGGCTTATAATTTTGCGAACTCATCTCTCTCTCCACTATCAATGTCGATGCCCTCTCGAGCAAAGCCCCTAAGCCTGCTCACAGTGGATGCCTTGGGCTTTGTACTGTGCTTATTGGCAGAGTCGGTGGGCACCTTAATAATCACTTCTCTCTCTTTTTTCTCTTTCTTCTCCTTGCGGTTTTCGTTGTCACCTTGTAGGTTCTCGGCCTTAGTAGATGTTGTACTTTCTATTGCCGATTGGTCCTTGCTCTACAATAGGAAGCATAGGCGGATTGAGAATTAGTTCTTCAAACAAAGGTATGCGTTTGTAATTATATATATATATATTTATATATAGATATATAGATATATAAATATAGATATATAG